CAAATTTATAAATTATAAATTTATAAATTAAATTTATAAATTAGCCATGTATTTGCTAATTTGCAGCTGGGTTTCAGATCTCTTTAAAGAACATGAATTCCTGGACTCTCCATTCACAGGAATGTGCCCCCTCTATATTTGTTAGCTATTTATGAAATACCTACTTAAGGTATTCGCTAAGCTGTGGGAAGAAGTTTCTTTGAATTAAAAGTGGCTTCTAGAGCTGGAGAGGTGGCTCATTGGTTAAGAGTACCAGCTGCACTCATACAGAGGCCCTGAGTTCAACTCCTAGCACCCATAAGACAGCTCACAACAGTCTCTAACCGAAGCCAAGTGTGGTGGCGCAAGCCTAAAATCCCAGCACTTGGGGAGGCCAGAGGTAGGCGGATCGCTGAGAGTTAAGGCCAACCTGGTCTACAAAGCAAGTCCAGGACAGCCAAAGCTAAACAGAGAAACCCTGTCTCAAAACAAACAAACAAAAACAAAAGAAACAACAAAACTGTCTCTGACCATAGTCCCATGGGATCTGTTACTCTCTTCTGGCATGCAAATCCACATGCAAACGAAACACCCATATACATAAATAAACCTTTTTTAAAAAGTGTATTGTAATAATTAAATTAACTGGCTTTCACAACTAGTAAGGTTATGTTTAAACCGTTGTAGTAATAACAGATCTATGTGCATCAAAAAGAATTTTCAGAACTATGGTAATTAGTTTTAGTCAAACTCTATGATACTTTTTCATAAACTTATTTGCCAGGGCTAGAGAGATGGCTCAAGCAGTTAAGAACTTGTTTGCAAAGTCAAAATGCCTTTAGTTTTGCTTTGCTAATCTTTCCTTCAGTATATTTATCTCATGTGCAAAATAAACATGGTAATGCAGATAGAATGTTAACATTTTGATTTGCAGTTCTCAACAAATTCTCATGAGAGTAGGATACACCCCTAAGAGCAACAAGGTAAAGAAAGCACCATAAAGATTTTTCATTCTAACAGGCTAAGCTAGTGCTCAGGAATTCTGGCTTCAATGCTGTCACGCCCCTTACTCTATAAACAAGAGTCACCTAACCCTAATTTAGCATAAATCTTTGTAACTCAATTTTTAAATACTAGAACTCTTTAATGAAAGAATAATGTGATTCCAATAGCAAGCTCTGAACGACTCTACTAAGACTATCCCATCCAGGAAGGTCCAGAGCGGCAAGCAGGTGAGGAAGTGACTAAGACAGACAAGCACATTCCTGTGCAGCTAACGGCAGTCGCAGGCACTCGGGCCCAGAGCAGTGTGGGCAGGTCTACACAGACACAGAAATCGGCGCAGCTGGCAAGCAAGAGCTCTAGGTTGTAACATCATTTGCTCTAAGAAAACATTGGTCCAGTCTTGGTCTTTTAACAATATCACATTAGAGATGTGCAGAGATGCCCCAATCACGAAAGCACATGGCGCACAGCCAGAGGGCCTGCAGAACCCTGTGTCAAAAAAACAGGCAAGCAAGCAAACAAACAAACAAAACATGGATTGCAACTGACAGACAGACACCAAGCACTAACCTCTAGCCTCCACACACATGCCCACCTGCCACACACACACACACACACACACACACACGAAAACAATATATTAGAATGGGTAAAAAATAAAAAAATATAAGTCTCTAAATATTGATCCGATATAGAGCTTCTAGAACTCATATACTAAAAATAGGAACTGAAAACCAGGAGGCCTCTTAGAACAATAGTGTGATGCATTATAGAGTTAAACATATAGTACAATGCACAGAGCTTTTCCCAAGCGGAATGAAAATCTACACTCAAGAGAAACTGACTGTTTATAATGGTCTATTTGTAATCATTAAGTATTTAAGACAACCAAGTATATCTCAAGTGGGATATGGATAACAATCTATTATATATAATGTATATACGTACATACACATATACACACTGAGAATGCTACTCAGCAATTAGAGGAAATGCACTATTGATATTACTCAACATGAGTGAGTCTCAAAAGCATTAAGTGAAAGTAGTTAGACTTTAAAAGAAACCTACTATGTGCTTCTATTTGTGTGATATTCTGGCAAAAGGGAATCCATAGGGACAGAGAATAGATCAGGACCTGCCAGGAACTGGGTGTGGGAGAAAGGGTTGACTCTAAAAGGAATTGCAGCAGATAATGGAGGTGTTCTGTGTCCTCACACAGGTGGCAATTAACGTACTATCTATGTTTTCCCAAACTTGCTGAACTATATACTCAAAAGAATAAATTTCACTATTTTATTTATTTATTTTTGAGACAGGGCCTCTCTATGTAGTTCTGGCTGTCCTGGAACTTGATATATAGACAAGGCTGGCCTCGAACTCTCAGAAATCTGCCTGCCTCTGCCTCCTGAGTGCTGGAATTAAAGGTGTGTGTCACCACATCAGGCTAAAAGCTATTTCCTAATTTAAGCAATAAGGGAAATAACTGAAACCAATACATTGTTAAATGTATAAAAAATATATATACAGTATAAACATACTCTGCTATGTGATATTTGCTTTTTGGCTTTTATTTTAAAGACAGTCTCAACATTACAACTTGGCATATTTAAAAGAAAAATTCTAAGACTTACACCACACTCAATGAATAAAAATCTACACCATTCTAAAGTCATACTTTTTGAAAACTAGACAACTAAGAACTTCAAAGAAATATATGCTATGAACATATATCTGGACTGCCAATAAGGTCAAAAGTATTCATCCTAATAAAGAAGTGAAATGATAAATATTAATAAACAAAACGTGTGCAAAATACACATACTCAATAGTATGGTGACGAGCATAAGCATTAGAGACAATCTACTTGGCTTGACCCCTACTTTGGCCGCTGACTAGGTATTTCACAGTGGACAAGTTGCCCAGTCCCTGGGAACTCTTTCCTCCCAACTGTAAAATATAAAACCCTCAGTTCTCGTACAGGCGAAGTGAGAAAATACCCATAAAGTACTCAGCACATGAAAAGTGCCACGTGGACCTCTTACTTACTAGTTATGTCATGATGGAGTTTTAGGATTACCTATAGTAAAAATGACTGAAAAATCACAGCCTCTTTCAAGAATTTGGGCTTAGAATCAGTCTGCCTAGGAATAGCAAAGACAGGAAAAGAGGAGGCTCGGTACTCTGTTCTGTGAGCATCTTTTCTTCCTGCTGCCAGCCCCTGCTGTCCAGGGCGCACACAGGTATCAGAAGAGCAACAGGCAAAACTTGGGGAACTTCCGAAATCTCTGCACGGCCACAGCCCACCTAACCACCTTATGTCCACGTATCTCCCAAAGCAAGAAAGCCTGACTAGCTGTGAGCCTTTACCAGGGTTAGTGTGTCCTGGGTCTGGGTCTGTCGTCTCGCATGTCAAATTAAATGCTCGTGTGTTGTCTTCGTTTGTTTTGTTTGTAAATGCAGGAATCTGTCCTTGAAGGAATCTGAAAACTTGCTAACAGAAAAATGATATCCATTAGCCTCACCTTCTCGAAACCCAAAAGTAAAGGAAAATTTGTACGAGGAAAAGGAATCAATTCAGCCACGCGTGATTTGATTTCCCCACAGAACTAGGCAACAGCATGTTTTGAGGGTTTGTAGACTTCGGTTATCTCGGTCTATAAGTTCTTGTTTGATTTGTTTCCTTATAGAATCTGAGACTTTGCTTTTCGTGAATTCCAGGATCTATTTACTTGCTGTTAAGTAAAACTTAACCAGGAAATAAAATGTGGTTTTTCACTCAAAGGGACTCTGGGTGTGCTTTTCAAGACGTAAAGCCCTTTTACAGTCCTGATTCACTAGCAAATTCCACCACCTGGTTCCCCGCGCTGTAAGTACCGCCGCGTCTGTCTACTGCCCAGTGATCCCGACGTGGCAAGTCAGGACTCCGCAGGGAAACGTTCGGGAATCTATAAACGAGCAGGACCTCCGGGCTAACACTGCGCTCTGCGGCGGGGCTGCAGCGCTGGGCCCCGCCGACGCCGCGGCCTGAGCCTGCGGGGCGCGCGGGCGCGAAGGCGGCGACGGCGGGTGTCCGGGCCACCGGGTACCGAGGCGGGGGTTCCACCGCGAGAATCTTTACCTTGCGGAATAAAAGGCGGCGGGGACGCACACTCGACGGCTCCGCTCCTCGAGGTTGGGGACCCGCGGGCCCGCCCGCCCCGGCCACTCCCGGGTCGAGCGCGCACCGCCCCGCATGGCCCCGCGCCTCCCGGCCGGGTGGGCAGGGCCAGGCGCCAGCCCCGCCCCCGAGGGGCTTGATTGATGAGGCTGTCGGCCGAGGGGGCGGCTCCGCGGTGCGGTCGCCCCCCGCCGCGGGGCTCGGGCGGGCGCCCGTCTCGGCCCGACGGGGCTGCGGGCGCCGGCATAAAAGGCGGCGGCAGGGGCTGGGCGGGGGTGGAGTGACCGGCTCGACGCCGCCGGCCGCCTCGCCTCTGCCCAGCGAAGGTGAGGGAGGCGAGTCGGAGGCGACGCCGGGGTCCCGCAGCGCCGTTCGCCCGGGCGGGAGGGAGACCGCGCGGGGCCCGGGGCCGCCATGGAGCGCGGCCGCCCCGCCAGCAGCCCCCGCCGCGCCG